GCCTTCGAGAAGCAGGTGGGTGCCCCGCGCCGCGCCGCTTGCCGCGGGGTCCTGCTCCGGTGCTCCTGCCGCTAACAGCTCCGCTTCCCCCTCGCGCAGGGCTCGGCCAAGCTGGAGAAAGCCGAGATTCTGCAGATGACCGTGGACCACCTCAAAATGCTGCACACGGCAGGAGGGAAAGGTAAAGCGCTCGTGCCGGACAGCTCCGCACCTTGCCCGCCGCCCGGGAACACACGGAGAAAGTGCCCCGAGTCTCCGGTGCCCCTTGCGAGGAGCGTGGGGGGACACGTTCCCCTTCCCTCTTGCTAGGAAGTCTTGCAGCCTGAATCGTTTTGCAGCGACGACTCCAGGTTGTTCTTGAGGAGGATGATTACAGGTCCCTCCACATCATGATCAACACAGTGGAGTAACTTGACAGCTAGGAAGACTCGGGAGCTTTTGGCGTTGTGAATAACTGTTTGCTTCTCTAACTCTTTGAAAACTCAGGACGTAAAAAGTCAAAAATGACATGGTGAAATGAACAATGAAGAGAATCGGTGAAATGTGTTTGGTCACCTGTGAAAGTGCTCTCTGCTAAGCAGCTCCTGCGTTTCTAACAAATTTCTCTGTGCTGCAGCTTTGCCAGCCTGGGGAAGGCGGGGGGAGAACGGAAGCACTTTCCCACAGCGATAGTGTGCAATTTTAGTTTAAAAATGCTAGTCTGTGACCATTCCTGGGTCTTGCAGCATCACAGTGCAGATAAAAAAAGAAGTAAGCTTGTTAGGCAAAAAAGAGAAAAATGAGCTTGATAGCTAGTCTATGGTTAGGGAAACTAACCACATCTAAGTGAAATACTCTTATGGGGGAGCGTGGAGCAGAGAGGCTACACGTAGATAATGACTAGGAAACAGTGTCTTAAGATGCCATTTTTTCTTCTTTCTTTTCCCAGGTTATTTTGATGCCCACGCTTTGGCAATGGACTATCGGAGTCTAGGGTTTCGAGAGTGCCTGGCCGAAGTGGCTCGATACCTTAGCATCATTGAGGGTCTGGACGCCTCCGACCCTCTGCGCGTGCGGCTCGTGTCTCACCTCAATAACTACGCCTCTCAGCGGGAAGCAGCGAGCAGCGTGCACGCGGGCATCGGACACATCCCTTGGGGCAGTGCCTTTGGACATCACTCCCACCTCTCCCACCCGCTGCTGCTGCCCCAGGGCGGGCACGGCACCACCGGTAGCACCGCGTCGCCCGCAGAGCCCCATGCCCAGGGCAGGATCGCTGCGCCGCACGCTGAAACTTCCTCCCTCAGAGTGCCCCCAAACGGCAGCGTCGGACCGGTGCTCCCCGTGGTCACGGCTGCTTCCAAACTGTCTCCTCCCCTGCTCTCCTCCATGGCATCCCTGTCTGCGTTCCCCTTCTCCTTCGGCTCCTTCCATCTGCTGGCCCCGAACGTGCTGAGCCCGTCGGCGCCAGCGCAGCCAGCGAACCTCAGCAAACCGTACAGACCGTGGGGGACTGAGATTGGAGCCTTCTGAGGACGGGCTGCCTAGCGAGGGTGGGGAAGCCCGCACACCTAGCTGAGCTGGGTTATGCCACGCTTAAAACTGAAATTCTTGATAGACTGGGACAAAGGTACAGTTTTACCTTAACAACGTTTGTCTAGAAAACTGTCTCCTTGGGGTTTTTTGTTTTCTACATTTTTTTGTATTAGCAATTTTTTAAAAAAATAGTTGCTGAATTTGTCCAAAAATAAAATTACAATAGTTGATGTTAACACTTGTGTTAGATCTATGCTGAGCATTTAAATAACTTTTTGTATTTGTTTCACATGTTCCATTTTGCCTCAATGCATCAGACCTCCTTTTTATGAAGAAATGAGTAAATTACCTACTACTGTTAGCAACAGCTTAGCTTAGTTATTAATTTTTCCAAGACCAGTCTTCTTGGCATTAATAAGGTGTGCTTTTTTGTTAATATTTTGTCCTTGAGATGGTGTGTAAGGAATTACCCTTTTTGTGAACTATATTTTGAGTCTTCTATTTCCGAACAAAGCGTTGACAAATCAGACTGACCAGCTTTATCCAAGAGCCTGATTTTTATGTCTTCTGCAGAGGTTTGGTCTTAATCTAGTCCCTGGGGGGTGTCTGTTCACATTGCAGAATCACTGCACTGTTTCTTTGACCACAAGCAGTAGTAGGAACAAACTCTGGAAGGGGGAGGGTGCAAAAGCCAGATTATGAGTTATGTTGGTAGTGGGTTTAGTTGTTGGGGCTGTGATGGGAAACAAATTGTCACCTGTCATAGTTTTCTGTCCAGAGCAAGAATATGGGCCAAATTCTGCCTTGAATTGTAATTATTCTGTCACATCATACACTTGGGAAACTGCAATGAGTCTTCCTCTCTGAGCTTCAAATTTGTCCCTGAAACAAATCATGTTTGTATCTACATAGCCAATACAGTGGGAACCTGTTCGCTGCGTAACCACGTCTTAATGAGTGTATTTAACTGGTTGATTTTTCTGTTGCTTTTAACTCCTAGGTGCAGTTCAGTGCCACTCCTCACATTATAAGGGCTCTGCTGCATTTCTGTGTGTGCGAGTGTGTGCACGTGTGTGTGTTTGCACACATGTGTGTCTGTGTGTATGCTTGGGTTGCTTTCCTAAGGTTCTGACCTGAACAGGTTTATTTAGTGAGTTCCACTGGATTGGGTTTGACTGCTCTTGTATTTGTGTTGCAGCTAAATAAAGGAGAAAGAACAAAGTATTTTAAATAACATGTTTGTCTCATGAATGTCAGTGGGGCGTTTTTTATACCTCTAGGTACCAGGGGGGATGCTGAATAACTGCTACGTAGTCTGCCTGTGGACGTCTACTTAACTTTGTTTTTAATGATTATTACAGTATACTTAGCTATACTAGCTGGGTACATAAAGAGGCCCTGTGCCTCAGAATAGGAACCAGAGCAAGGAAACGTCAGGGTAGGTTTTGTGTGTTACTTTTATTTGCTTGGCAGTATGGGGACAGAGAGTTAAGAGAGCAACGTTACCGCTAAAGAGGTTGAAACTGTGTTGCACCTGGTATACTGACTACTTTGTCATAATATTAAAAACAAAAAATCTTCTCTACACATGCGGAGTCCTTTTCTAACTCAGGAAATATTTATCTGTAACTCTGTGGTAAAGTTTTGTACGTAAAAGTCCAGTTCCTGTCCTATGCGTTAGTGCAGTATCTACACAAGGTCTCTTACTACTCTTGTACGTGTTGCAGGGCAGCGTCACTGACATCTTGTGTACTGTACTTTATCTCAAAACAGCATCCTGAGAGGGCATCCCCGAAGCGGCACGTGCAGATGTGTCCTTCCTCCGGCCGCAGAACGTCAGCGGTTCCGCAGGGAAGCGCCTTGCTTCTTCCCTGAGTGTTTTGCTTTATAGGGTGGTAAATAGCACATGTGTGTCTGGATTTAGCTCATCCAGAACAGCAGAAAAGGTGCTTGGACTGGTGGGAGAAGAGGGATTTGTCCAGAGAGGGGCTCTCGGGCCAGTTCAGAAGTATCAGTGCAGGGAGGCTAGGAGAGGACTGGGCTTTCTTGTAAGGATTACCTTGAGGCTGGGAAGAGTGGGAATTGCATCCACTCCAGTGTGTAACCAGGTTTTACCTTCCAAGGCTGCAGGTACCAGTGCTAGATGTGAAATGCAAAACAGAAGTTGTGGCATCAGGAAATACATGTGAGTTTCTGAGGAGAGATTATAAAGCATGATGTTTCATGCATGCACGTGAAATGAAAGTCTTTAAAATTCAAGATCCAGTTTCCTTTTCACATTATCCATTCACATATTGTCTCCTATTCAGTTACTCTGCCCTGTCCTAATAGGTTTTTGTACCAAATTAACAGGTCCCAACCTAAAAGATTGCTATAGTGCATGCAACTGTTCTTCAGGTCTTTTACTAAATGGCAATGCTTCTCAGCCTTTAAATGGCTATTTCATTGGCATTCAAATGACGTTGTCTGCCTCTAAGTACCTGGCTCTTTTGTGCAGAGACCCCTGTAATTATTTCTGTCCCACTGTCCCCATCTTGAATTAACTTCAGAAACAGACTGCAGTAAAAGTTTAGTTACTGGTGTTTGTCTCAGTATCCACTGTGGTCTTCCAATTACCATTGGTAAAGGTATCAGTGGAAAATACTATATTTATTAAACTTTTGCAATAAATTAATATCAGTTTCCAGAGACTCGAAATCTATAGATTGCTGTGTTGGAAATAGAAGAATGAATTCTAGGACCTGATGAAGCTAAAAAAATCAAAAGGAAAAAGCATGTCCCAGCAACTGAAGCACCAGGGGCAAAGTCCAGGGCTATGCTCCATTTGCGCTGCTACCTTGCTAAATCAGGCTTAGAAATCACTTATTCTGTATCAGTTTGTCTGCTGTAAAAGGAGGTGGCGGTACCTGTTCTCCTCTCATCAGGAGACAGTGGGAGCTGAAAAAATGTCCATACCAATGACAAGTGCTATTGTTTCTCAAGCTATAGTACAGAAAGATTTTGTCATTTTTCTTTCTCATAAGATGCCAGGCTTCTGAAGACAGACTGAGAAAGGCGGAACAGGCTCTTTCTTCCAGACAACAGATAGATGCTGAGCTCCAAATATTTTTGTTTATACCTGCTTACCTTACTGCAAAAAAAAAAAAAAAAAAAAAACCCAAAAACCAATACCAAAACAAAGCAAAAAAACAATTACAGGAGCACAGGCTTAGCTGGAGGGATGACAGAGAAGGAAGGAAATGAATATTTGATTTGATCCCATGACCCCCAGCTAGTTTCAATTGCTTGGATGAATGAAGCACTTTGGATGTGTGTCCAGAAATCCTCAAGCTGAAGCTTTGTGTGGGCTGTAAGATGATGCAGTTGTTTCATCTAAGCAACTACAATCGTCCTTTACGGAAGAAGCTGGGTTTGAGCACTGAATAAGTTTAAGAAAGTGGTAAATACTGCATAAAACCAGCTACAAACCTTTGGAAATCCATTCCATGCACTGGCAGAAAGGTATAGGTCACGGAACTGGCATTTTTTAGCTTTTGGGAAAAAAAAAAGAAGCTGTCAGCAACTCTTAGGGCAGTTTCTATTCAGCACTCCAGTCTTACACTAGCAACTTGCCACTATTTATTAGAATCACATTGTAAGATTAAAAAAAAAATGAACCCTGGCTATTGCTGTCTTCATGGGCACATCAGCAAGTGAGTCTCCAGGTGACAGAAGCCCTCCTAGTCTGATATTTGGTGGGGGAGCCCAGCCGGGTTCTTCCAAGCAACAGACAAGACCGTGTGAGCATAGATAAGCTGAACCCCTTCCTCCTGCTCCACATTGTGTGCCTCTTTAGAAGGGCTTCTCGACAGAAGCTCCCATTTTGGCCTGTAACATGTCTAACACTAGTATGTCCTTGCATGGACCAGCCCACCAGGCCATGTAGAGCACTGGGAGCCTCCCTCTCTTTCAGCTTGATCCAATTTATAAATGAAAGCTAGAACTAGCCCTTTCTTCTGGAACCAGAATATGCTGGCATTGGCTCATGCCTACCATATAGTAGCTTGACTGGAGCAATAAATGTTAAAATGCCAGTGCGGAGTAAATACGGAAATGTGAAGGTGTGTTTTGGGGAGCCTGCAGAGTTCATTTGGTGATTTCCTTTCCTTTCCTTTTTTTTTTTTTTTAGGGTTGTTCTTGAGTATTATGTATTACTCTCTCTTCTTCTATCCAATCCTATGCATTTTTTTTTTTTTAAAAAACAATTCCATTCATTAATCTATTAGTTCATACAGCAGGAAAACCTGGAAGAACCTGCCTTGCTCTAGAGCCATGCTCAGACCTTCCCAGCATAGCAGAGCTCATGGACAGAGGTTCTCTTCCAGCTGTGTGCTGATCTTTAATATATCACGTAAGACAAGAACTAATGCATTAGGGGTTTCTCTAAGTTCTCAAAACTTGCTCTGCCTACAGAGCCCTGCTGCCTATAGGACTGCTCTGCTTGCAGAGCCCTGAACTGTATTGCATCACTTGGCCCTTTTCAGAGCCTTTTACCAGGCTGGAGAAGCCTCCTGGGGAGGAAAAGAGAAGAGATGGAGCAGGGCTTCTGGTACATCTTCTGTGCCCATTGAGGCAGCCCCAATGCCCACAGGCCTCTGCTCATGACTCCCCTCTCTCGGCACTGGAAAGTTTTCCCAGAGCTTGCCAGACACAGGCAATAGCAGTGAGTTAAATGCTGTCTGCATGTGCATTTCTCTGTTTTTGCTGTTCTCACAGGAAAAAAAAAAAAAGGATATTGAGTAGAAAATTTGGAGGAACGGCTCTGGGGAGAGAATGGCAGAGAGCAGGAAGGAAGGCTAATGTGCAAGACCACAGGAAAGCTGCAGCTCAGGAGAGATGAATGAAGAGTTGCATTGTTTGCATTGCCTGTTGCAAAGACAGGGAAATGACTGACGTACGAGGACAAAATAAACGGCACCCGAGTAGTTAAATGGTTCAGAGAGGGGAAGATAATATTCTTAACAATCATAACTCTTCTCAATAAGCCAGAATTAGATGAGCAACATGTAAAGACTGGGACGTATATTTTAAAACCAGGGAGGTGCTGAAACAAGTGCATGTGAATGTCTTCATCTAATTTGAT